AAAACAACCCCAAAAAACAAAAAAACAAGACACAAATTACCAAAATTAGGAATGAAAGGGTAACATCATCACAGACACTACAGATATTTAAGAGAATATTACACAATTAATCCATAGAAACAAATTACCAAAGCTCACTTAGGAAGAAATACATAACCTGAATAATCCTGTAGATATTAAAGCAATTAAATCTGTAATTTAAAACTTCTCTATAAAGAAAATTCTATGCCAAGTGGCTTCACCATCAATCTACCAAATCACAGTGTAAGAAATAATACTAAATCTATACAACCTTTTCTGAAAACAGGAAAAGGGGAAACATTTCCAATTCAGAAACACATCCCTGTTACCAAAGCCAGATAAACACATTATAAGAAAGGCAATACCTCCCATAAACATAGATGCAAAAATCCACCACAAAATATTAGTTTAAAAAAATGCAACATGTGAAAAAGATAATATACTACAACCTAATGTGTTTTATTCTGGAAATTCAAGGCTGAGTCAACATTTAAAAATTAACTGACATAATTCATCATATTAACAGACTAAAGAAGAAAAACTGATTTCTCAATAAAGGCAGGAAAAGCATTTGGCAGAATTCTACATCTATTCATGATAAAAACTCCTAGTAATCTAAGAAAAGAAGGGAACTTCCTTAACTTGAAAAAATTGACACCTACAAAAAAAAGCCAAAAAACTATAGGTAACACTTAATAGTAAAAAACTATTTTTCCTGTTTTCTCCCTAAAATCAGGAACAGGACTAGGACATCTACTCTCACCATTCCTATTCAACATGTAATGGCAGTTCAAACCAATACAATAAGAAATAAAAAGCATACAGATTAGAAAGTTAGAATTTGTATCTGGTAATAGACAACAATGTCTAAGTACAGAATATTAAGGAATCTACAAAGAAAGCTCCCAAAAGTAATAAATGAGAATTGGTCAATGTCATTCAAAGCCACAGCTTTTACTCCAAAGTTACGATCTCCAGATCTTTATATCACAGTCAATGGATATCTTCACCTGTATATTCCAAGAACTCCTAAGATTCTATTTCCACAACTGAATTTATTGTTATCCCTCCCAAAACTTGTCTTTAAAAATACATATTTCTCATTATCTTTGGTAATACCACCAATTTACTTGTTCTAATATTCATAGCTTTCCAATACTGATTTATCCACCCACTCAAGCTACAAACGAGAGATTCATCTTAGATGACTTCTTATCCAATCCACATCTACGTGGTCGTTTAGGGTATCAGTTAACTTTTGTTATGAAACAAACTGCTCCAAATCTGAGGGCTTAAAAGTAAATATTTATTATGTCCTGTGATTCTGTGGGTTGACTAGCTGATTCTTCTGGTCTGAACCATCTTAGTTGGGGCTGGACAGTCTAGGATGGCCTCACACATATGTTTGGGGCCTCAAATGGGAAGGTTGAGATTGCTGGGACACTTGGGGCCTCTCTCCAAGTGGTCCTTCATCTTCTAGGAAGCAAGACTGATTTGATTACATGGTGGCAGAAGGGTTGTCAACAATAAAACGGCAAGTCCCAAATGTGCAAACATCCTTCAAGTCCCTGCTAAATTACAACTGCTATTATCCCAATGGCCACAGCAAGTCACATGAGTTAGTCCGTCTGGGAGGGGACTACCCAAGAGTATGGAATAGGTGGGCATGAACAATTGGCTTGAGAAGGAAGGCATAACTGCAACAATTTACACTTAATCCTATTGATTCTATGATTCTATCTCCTTTTAACCCCTCCAATCTCATGAATCCCATTTTACTGAGGAGTTTAAGAGCTTCTCATCTCCTACTTCCAACTATTCGGAATAATCTCCTAACTGAGCTTGTATTGCTATAAATGATCAGCATGTGAATTTTTCAGAAAATGCAAATCTTGTCACAAAACTCTGCTATTTCAGGGTGCCTGGGTGGCTCAGTCGATTAAGTGTCTGTCTTCGGCTCGGGTCATGATCTTGTGGTCTGTGGGTTCGAGCCCCATGTCGGGCAGCTCGAAGCCTGGAGCTTGCTTCAGATTCTGTGTCTCCCTCTGTCTCTGACCCTTCCAGACTCATGCTCTGTCTCTCTCTCTAAACACAAATAAAAACAAAAAACATAAAAAACCTCTGCTGCTTAAAACTCAATAGTTTTCCTGTTGCCATTAGAATAAACTATGGAATGAATTCCTAAACGAGATCCACAAAATCTTACTTACTCTTACTATTAAAATGTTACTTACTCTTACTATTCCCTCATATGCACCCTACTCTTTCAGAAACAAAAAACTAAGTCCTTCAAAGGGTCATAGTATTTCAATACCATGCCTTTCCACCTAATGTTGTTTCTATCTGGAATGTCCTGTTACTGCTTGTATCCTACCAAATTTCGACACATTCTTCAAGATTCATCTCAAACACCACAAATTTAATGAAGCAGGTCCTGCCTGACAAAGTTAAATGCTCCATTTCTTGCTTCGATTGCATCTCCTACAACCTTCAATTATAGTGTTTATTCCAGTACACTATAATTATTTGTTTAGAGTCTTGTCTACCTACTTACTTCACTGTGGGAGAGGGACTATACCTTTTAAAATATCTATCTCTCCAACATTTAGAACAATTATTGACATTTAGTAAGTACTCATTAAATGCTGTTTAATTGATTAATTCATTTCCAACATTCTAGATGCTAGTGGAAAGAAAATTTATGAGATAAGTCTTTCATTGTCAAATACTGTCATCAATTCAGTACTCTTCTTCAAACGTTACTTTTCAGTGAAGTTGTTTGAGTAGAATGTAGTTCCAAGTATACTAAACTTTCAATCTGTACTAATACATCTGTAATGTGTTATGAATATGTTAAAATGAGAATTTAACAGTGGAGTGTATAAATGTACTAAATTTAAAATGTACCTAATGTACTAAAACTATCAATGTACTAAAACAGATTGATGCCACATTGTAGCTATAGCTGGATTAAGTAAGACTGACTCTCTTTCTCTTTCCCTAAATTATCATACATTTTAAAGTTTAAAGTAAAAATATCCATGTTGTATTGTCGCTGGAATGAGAGAATATATACACAAATAAGTCTCCTTGAAAAATTCACTGCAGTCCAGAGCCTGGCCCTCAGCCTTTGCTACAGTCCTAGTTTTTGTGTCCTTTGCAAAATTCATACATTGAAATCCTAACGCCCAATGTGATGGTATTAGGAGGTGAAGGTAGGTGATTATGTCATGAGGGCAGAACTCTTATGAACGAGATTCCAAAGAGCTCCTTCTACCCTTCCACCATATGAGGGCACAGCAAAAAGACTAGGAAACAGATACTGAAGGAAACAAGTACTTACCAGACACCAAATCTGCCAGAACCTTGATGCTGGACTTCGTAGGCTCCTGAACTGTGAGAAATAAATTTGTTGTTTATAGCTTTGCAGCTCAAATGGGCTAAGACAGCCTTACTGACCCAGAAACCTAATTTGTCAGGAAGACTTTTGTTTAAAACACACACACACACACACACACACACACCCCAGTATCTTAATCAACAGTAAGAAGCAGATCTAATGCCAATGGCAGGGGAGGGGGGAAGGGGGAGTAGAGAGTGCCTGTCTAACCAAGGCAAATACTTTGGTGATAGAACTAATCTAATTTATGTTACAGCCTCAAAGTGCATAATTGAGGTTAAACACTGGACTCAGTTGTATTCTGATACAGGAAAAAATAAAGTGCAAAGAAGCTCATGATTAAGGAGCCTCAGAAAGTACAAACCACTAAACTAACCTGGGCAAAGTTGTGAATGATTTTAAATCAGGTAGTGACCAATAAAAAGACAAAGTACCACTTTTTCCACTAGATGGTCAACTCATAACATATATATGTGCACATTTATTGTCTCTTGTAGTGAGGAAAGAAAAGCCCTTGCCAAGTAAGTTCAGTGCACTTGGTATGTAATATTTAATTTCGAGACTGAAGAAAGACTATTATTTACTTGACGTCAATTTCTATAAATTAAAGGTAAGAAGCTTTTGGTTCAGAATGTAAAGGCTTTTGATCGCTGTGAGGAGATGGGGGAGATTCACGGAATACATTTAATATCATTTAAGATATATTTTGGCCAGGGCTCAAGAGGTGGGCTTTTTCGTTTGTTTAAACTTTTTCTTAAAAAAACTTTTCATTTTAGAACTTAGAGCGAAAATAGCAGAGTTCCTATTATACCTCATACAAGACCGTTTTTAAATCTCCCACTTCCACCGCCAAATCTCTTTCCGACTTCTTTGCTTCTCTGCTCGGATTTTGGCAGAGCCTAGTTCACACAGTGCAACTTTAGGATCGTAACGAAAACCCAGTTCACTTAAAACCTCACCGCCCAGCCACAACTCTGTCAGGGCTTAAGATCGCCAAACCCGAAAGCTCTCGCTCCGCCCCGCTCTTCTAGAGACGCCCGAGCCCCTTGCAGACGTGGCTCCTCCAACTCAGGTCCCAGGAGACTAGCGCGAAGCGGACCAGGGGGGTGGCCTTCCTCCAGAGGGGAGGCGCCCAGGACCCCACAGGACTAGCTGGGGCCGGCCTAGGGCAACCACCAACGTCAGGCCTCTCCTCCGAGGACAGGTTCCCGAAGCCAAAATATGTTTAATCTCAAAACGTCCAGATCTCTGAGGCATGTGGCGGATTACACAGAAATACGCACATAGGTGACGGCCGCTTATTGTTTAATGCAGACGCCTGCAGGAAGTCCCCAGGCAGCACCCACTCCTCTCTACAGCCACCACCCACAGGCGGCGTCGCTGGCGCAGCCAGTCCTAGGACGCGTTGCGCGGGGAGCGGGCACGCGCGCGTGAGGACGTCCGGGGAGCGCGCGCGCCGCCGCCACCAGCGAGCTCGGTTGGGTTTGCCGGTGGTGGGGTTTGAAGGTGATGGCCTTGACCGAAGGCCTCGAGGAGGGGTCTCCCGCTGTTCCCGCAGTCGCTGCCGGGAGTACCGTTCACTCTTCGTCATGAGAGGTAAGGCCTGGGGGAAGCGGGCCGAGGAAGCGAGGGGCCAAGGCGAATGGGCTCTGGGAGAATAAGTGAGGTACTCGAAGCTCGAACGTGGGTGGAAAACTCTGTCCTGGGGATTCCGGAAGAGTTTTGTGCGTTTATTTTTCTTACTTTTTCGTCCCCTTTCTTGCTTGTGCTTGGAGGAAAGTGGGAAGGTTCTACGTTTTTATTTATGGGAAAAGATACAGAAATTGTCCCGTCTAGCGTCAGTCTTCGGAGGTTTGAGGGAATAAATAGCACCTGTGGCTTCAGAGCATCGGTGAAAAGCTTTAGTGAAAATCATTTAAAAACCACACCACCATACAGTAATCGGAAAAAAAAAAAAAAGTTATACTTCAGAAAGAAATAGAATGGCAGAACATATCCTGACATTAATCCTAGCTACCTCCTATAGAAACGGCAGTCTGGGATAAGGCTCAGCGTATCGTCTGCTGTCATTACGACTCTGGCATCTTCGAAGACTGCCACACTGGTAATTTAGGGATCCTTTCTTGCCAGTGTCCTTTTTCTTTCCCACCTTCCAACCCCCAATGATGGTGGCATTTTTATTTTTATTTTATTTTAATTAAAAAATTTTTTTTGAATATTTATTTTTGAGAGAGACAGAGACAGAGCGTGAGTGGGGGAGGGGCAGAGAGAGAGGGAGACACAGAATCCAAAGTAGGCTCCAGGCTCTAAGCTGTCAGCACAGAGCCCGACGCGGGGCTCGAACTCACGAGCCATGAGATCATGACCTGAGCCGAAGTTGGACGCTCAACCGACTGAGCCACCCAGGCGCCCCAATGGTGGCATTTTTAATGGGCAGACTATATAATGATCTTTACGCAGACTAAAGAGTTACCTACCTGGCAATTACATAGCGACTCCCCAAGTGTCCCAAATTTAAAGGTGTTTGGGTAGCATTCTTTTCTGGGGGAAGATAATACTTTTGGTATTAATCATTAGAAATCTTTTCAGCCTTGGGAAAGCTATTTCAGCATAAACCGAAATCTGTAGGTCACTTAAGTGAAATGTTTATTATTAGTTCTCCATGATGATACTTAAAAAAAATTTTTTTTAATGTTTATTTTTGAAAGCGAGAGAGAGAACGAGAGAGAGCATACGAGCAGCGGAGGGGCAGAGAGAGGAAGACACAAAATCCAAAAAAGGTTCCAGGCTCTGAGCTGTCAGCACAGAGCCCAACACAGGGCTTGAACTCATGAACTCATGAGATCATGACCTGAGCTGAAGTCCAACACTCAACTGACTGAGCCACCCAGGTGCCCCATCCATGATGATACTTTAAAAGGCATGAAGATTTAATGTTTTTTTCTCCTTAGCCTTTCAAAGCATTAAAAAATACTGTTTACTCTTAGGAAATGTAGAATCTCCACCAGAGATGAAACTGCTCCAGTTGGGCAGAGTAAATGTCCTGAAGTATCCAAGTATGAATGAGTATTAGTACATTATTAACATCTGCTGGGCACCCATACTTTGACTATTTTGCTGTTTCCTTCTGTCATTAGAGAAGGGGGCATCTGAAGCTCAATTTTGTTTGTACCAGATGTTCCCTAAAAAATAGTTTGAGTACTGCAGCAGAGCCTTGACATTAAGGGAAGAGGGATGTCTAGTTAAAAGTGATAGACAACCTGAAGATAATTCATCTACTGGGACTATTGGCCTGTCCTGTAGTGAATAAAGGATTCCTACTGAACAATATATTGCCTGTATTTAATTGTTCACTTAGAATATTTTCTGATTTTTTATTTTTAGGAGACCAAGCCCTGAAGCAAAGAAATCTGGATCACAGAAAAACTATTCAAGGGTCATGCAAGCCAACTGTAGCCAACTGCACAGCCCTCCAGGAGCTGCAGGCAGTGAGGATGCCTCAGCTTCCCAATGTGTTCATACAAGATTGACAGGAGAAGGTTCTTGTCTTCATTCTGGAGATGTTCATATCCAGATAAACTCCATACCTAAAGAATGTGCTGAAAATCCAAGCTCCAGAAATATAAGGTCAAGTGTCCATAGCTGTACTCATGGATGTATACATAGTCGCTTACGGAGTCACTCCCACAATGAAGCAAGGCAGTCTGATGATACTGCCACAGAGTCTGGAGATCATGGTAGTAGCACTTTCTCAGAATTCCGATATCTCTTCAAGTGGTTGCACAAAAGTCTTCCATATATTTTGATTCTGGGTGTCAAACTTGTTATGCAGCATATAACAGGTAGGGTATAATAAAACATTGCATTGTTTCATTGCAAAATTCAGTTAATTTTATTTCCTTATTGGTAATCTCCTTGAACCTCTGTATTTTGTTAGCTTTGAAAATTGTATGTTTCCTGTAAATTCATGTTATTGTGTTAACTCTTGGATTTTTTTTTTTCTTTCGATTAACTGGAACTTATTTCCTAACAGGAATTTCTCTTGGAATTGGGCTGCTTACAACTTTTATGTATGCAAACAAAAGCATTGTAAATCAGGTTTTTCTAAGAGTAAGTATAACAAGTAACTTAAAAAAACATTAAATGTTTCTCTCTGTACAATTTATTATATACTCACTTTTGAGAGAAATAGGAATTAAGATCATTTTCTTGACAAACATGTTATAGCATCCATGATATATTAAATTTTGTTATCTAAATGATCTGTCCTGATGATAAATTATTTCACCTTATTTTCTTTGTATGTTGAGTCCCTGATAGAAAAACTAGATAAGATTAAAAGGTTTAGAATGCACTACTTGATCTGATTTGTTAAGTGCCTTCATATTTTGAGTAAATTTTACCATCATTAAAAACTTCACCTGTTGCCCTAGAAGATCTAAAATAGTTCAATAAAATGTACAGGTATCAAACTATTAGGGCTCCCTTTTTTAAAGAAAATTAAGCCCAAGAAGTTTTCCCATAATATAAATTATAAACTATTAGTCATGTAAGTTACCGGAAAAAATAGGATTAGTTTATAAAATTTCACCTTCAAGCAACTTTAAAGGGCTGTATCTATGTAAAGGATCAGCATTCTGACCTGGATATTTGTAGTTAGAATCTACCAAACCATAAAAATTTAATTCGGGGTTTAAATGAAACTAGTAATTAAGACAATTTTAAAAGTGAGATTAATAGCAAATTACCTTGTGAAAATATTACTGAATTGAAAATTTTTAGTTATTTTTATAAGTCCTGACAACCTAGCATTTTTTAAAGTTCGGTTTTGTCAGGGAGGCAAAAATAGGGAGTAGAGGTAAAGTTTGTACTTGGATGGTTCTTTTATGTCATTTTGTAGATTTGGCTTCTTTGAAACCTGGGTAATGTGAGTATTGTTTTTATATAGTGAAGAAAACTGTAATTTAAAAATTTGTTTAAATATTCTGTTTTGTTCACTAAAGATTCATAGAGTGCAATGATGTACAATTTATATTTTTATTAAGATTAATCTACTAAAATGTTCTAAGTTCACAAATTAGTCATTAAAGTAAAATAGTTAAATGATATTTATAACTCTGGCATAATTCATAATAACAAATTATAAAATTGTTTATTTTTCAGGAAAGGTGCTCCAAGATTCAGTGTGCTTGGTTACTGGTATTCTTAGCAGGATCTTCTGTTCTTTTATATTACACTTTTCATTCTCAGTCACTTTATTACAGGTAATTTGAGGTACAAATACACAATCATATTTTTTATGTAAAAATTTATTCCATAGCACTTTGTATATATCTTAACTTACACATACTTATTGTTAGAGTTCAATTTTTACCGGTCCCTCTCCTTCCAAGATAATAGCTCTAAGTGACTTACTCAGATTTGTATACTAAGTGCCTTGGCTCATAGCAGGTACTCACTATTTTAGTTTTTGATACTTAAATTTTTACTTACATAATCAGTGGTTTTAAACACCGTTAGGTGTTGGTGGCGGTCTTTTTAAATATTTCTTCATTTTTGACAAAATTATATGTATTCAGGATGTAAACATGTTTTGACATATATATGCATTGTGAAATGATTATCACAATCAAGCTAATTAACATGTCTGTCACTTCTCTTAGTTACTTGTGTGTGTGGGGGGTGGGTAAGAACACATGATCTTTGTTTCTAGAAGCAAGAAGACTTACTAAAGGATAGTTGTTAAGTTTCCAGGTCAGATGGAAGTGTTCTTAATTTTTAGCTTTAATCCGATGATTAGAAGTCCTGGTTTTAGCGGAGTTGGGAGAGATGGGACAAATCTAGGAAATAGTGTATAGAGGGAACCAATACCACTCAAATTGGATTGGGTGTGTTGATGGGAGGTAAGAATCCAGGATGACCCCTGGGATTTAGTTTTAGCAACTGGCTGGGTGGTGGTTCATTTATGGGCTAGGAAACACTGGAAAGAACTGATTTTGAGGGGAAGATCAGTTTTGCTTTGAACATGTAAAGTTTGAGAGGCCATGTAGAACTCTTAAAGTGATTGTAGCTATATGTCATGAGCTCATTGTCAAAGTTAGGGCTTTAAATTTTGGTGGTATCCAGCATATGGTTGATAGACCTAAAAACCATGGAATTCACCAAGACTAATCAGGGAAAGAAAGTGTAGACAGAGGAGAGGGCCCAGGACTGGACATTAATCAGAGGAGGAGCAGCAAAGGATATTTAAGGAACCATCAGTTACATAATGAGAATAACTAGGAAAGTGTGATGTTAGAAGTCTAAGAAGAAAATAATTCAGGGAGGGAAGATGGAAAACGAGAAGTGACCTTTGAGCTTAGCAAGACAGAAGGAATTGGTGATCTTGACAAAAGCAATTCAGTAGAAAGGAGATAGAACCCTGATTGGAACTGGTTGAGAAGAGAATGGTGGACATCTAGTATTTAGTGAATTCTTTAGATTACAGGGTAGCTTTCCAGCGATGACATACTAGAAAGACTGTTCTTTTTCTTTATTCTATGGAGGAAAGATTTGAAATTCAAACATTTGAAAAGTCCCTTTAAGCAAAATGATCTTCCATTTTATTTACATGAACTCTAACATCTTGCCAAACTCACATTTTTTACATATCAAAGTAAAATGCTTGGTAGCAAATTTAAAACCCCTATCAAAACTTGACCTTTGTATATTGTTTTGGTAAGTTTTGATGTTTTTCTCTTGGTAGCTTAATTTTTTTAAATCCTACTTTGGACCATTCAAGCTTCTGGGAAGTACTTTGGATTGTTGGAATTACAGACTTCATTCTGAAATTCCTCTTCATGGGCTTAAAATGCCTTATTTTGTTGATGCCTTCTTTCATCATGCCTTTTAAATCCAAGGTAAGAAACATGTTTTATTGGAACAATATTAGCAAACCACATTAATACTATTTAGTCTTTGTTGAAATGACTCTTTTATAACTTTTCAGTTTTCTAAATAACCTAATTTTAATTATCTGTATTACCTTAGACTAGAGACCATTTGTTCAAAGACCTGAACTTAAATAATCTATTCCAAATTCTGTAAAATCAGAATTACATTGCTTCAGAATAATCCTCACATCACATATAGAAAAATACTATTTAGATTTGTACTTCTATTCTCCTCCAGGGCTTTATCAGTTATTTATAACTGACTACAGGCAGTTTTTCATGTGTTTTTTCTCATATTCAGTAAAAATTTTATAATTGAGTTGTGCTATATACTCATGATGATCTCAATCCAATATGAAATATTTGTGCTATGTAAGTAGCTTATATAGCTCTGTTTTCTTTTTCCTTTTTTTTTTTAGGGTTACTGGTATATGCTTTTAGAAGAATTATGTCAGTATTACCGAACTTTTGTTCCCATACCAGTTTGGTTTCGTTACTTTATAAGCTATGGGGAGTTTGGTAATGTGACTAGACGGAGTCTTGGGATATTGCTGGCTTTACTCTACCTCATACTAAAAGTAGGTAATGTTATAAATCTTGTCATTGTATCATTCATATGATGATGACAGATTTTACATACTACTGCTTTTCCCCTTGACTGTTTTATAGTTTATATCACTAGTTTGAAGTAATGACATGTTCTGTATCTGTTTAGAAATGGAAAAATGGAAATATATGTCTTTATCTTATAATCTAGTGGTTCTTACATTTAATTGGGACAGTGGAGCTCCACAGATAGCATGGGTAGAATAGAACATATTCATCCCCAACAGTAGCATCTGTCATACACAAAAATACTGTCCTCCTCCCCTCAAATTAATATGAAACTTTTAAAAAGCTACTTTAAAAGTGCCTGGTCTTTGACAGTTATATTTGTCTTAACTAAATTGTAACTCTATTCAAATGTACTTCATTTTGGTCAAGAGTTGACTGAAATCTAAAAAAGGGATGGGAGGATGGGCAAATGGGTGGAGAGGAGTGGAAGATAAAAACTTGGCTGAAATCAGTAAATGGAGTAAAATATTCCATAATTGGACTTTAAATATATTTACAGTGAAGTGAATACGCAATGAGCATTACGTTAATACCAGTATTTGATATGATGGGATTTGAGCTTTAATCTCTGGAGTTTTTAAAAAAATTTTTTAAATGTATATGTATAGATTAAAAAAATTTTTTTTAACATTTATTTATTTTTGAGAGACAGAACATAAGTGGGGGAGGGGCAGAGAGAGAGACACACACACAGAATCCAAAGCAGGCTCCAGGCTCAAGCTGTCAGCACAGAGCCCCACGTGGGGCTCTGACTCAAGAACCATGAGATCATGACCTGAGCCGAAGTCAGACACTCAACCAACTGAGCCACCCAGGCACCTTTTAATGTATATTTTTGAGAGAGAGAGAGCATGCGCATGAGAAGAGGTGAGAGGCAGAGAGGGAGGGAGACAGAATCAGAAGAAGGCTCCAGGCTCTGAGGTGTCAGCACAGAGTCTGTTGGGGAGCTTGAAGCCATGAACCTCCAGATCGTGACCTGAGCCAAAGTCAGGCGTTTAACTGACCAAGCCACCCTGGCACCCCTTTAGGTTTAACAGATAGGGCTCTTTGAATTCAGGAATTCTTACTTCCTCTTTCAGCTTTTGGACTTTTTTGGACATCTAAGAACTTTCCGACGGGTTTTGCAAATATTTTTTACACGACCAGTAAGTACTTTTTATCAGTTAAAAACTTTTTACCTTTCTTCTTCTTCTTCTTCTTCTTTTTTTTAAGGTTTATTTATTTTTGAGTGAAAGAGTGCAAGTGGGGCAGGGGCAGAGAGAGAGGGGGAACAGAGGATCTGAACTAGGCTCTGCACTAACAAGAGCAAGCCTGATACGCACCTCGAACTCATGAACCATGAGATCATGACCTGAGCCAAAGTCGAACTGAAGTTAACTGCTCAACGGACTGAGCCACCCAGGCGCCCCTACCTTTCTTCATTATAAAAATGTTTTAGTTCATAAATTTTACAAGTATGGATTTCATGGGGCACTTGGCAGGCTCAGTTTGTAGAGCATGTGACTCTTGATCTTAGTTCTTGAGTTCAAGCTCCACGTTGGGTGTAGAGCTTACTTTAAAAAAAAAAAAAAAAGGTGTGGATTTCATAATTACATGCTTTTTTAGTACTCTGGCACATGGGGCTATAATCAGTTCCTTTTTTTTTTTTTAATGCTTATTTTGAGAGAGAGAGAGAGAACATGTGTGCATATGGGGAAGGGACAGAGAGAGCATCCCAAGTAGTTCTGTGCTATCAGCATAGAGCCTGATGCCAGGCTTGATCTCATGAACCCTGAGATCATGACCTGAGCCTAATTAAGAGTCGGATGCTTAACTGACTGAGCCATCCAGACACCCCTCTATGACTTGCATGTTGACAACTACCTTATAGTTGATGCAGTGCCTATATTTTCGAATATGCCTCTTGCCCTTCAAATCACTTGATGTAAGGATTTATATACATTCCCATAAAAATCTTGTCATGAACTTTTGTTCCTCTTCCTTTTTAAAAAATTCACAAGTGGTGGGTTTGTGTACTTCCATTAAGTTCTTATTCAGCTCCTGTAAGAGTGCTCATTGTTAATTTGAGAAAAACTCATTACCAAAAATATCCCTTGAAATTTTCTTACTGAAAAAATTTCCCCACCAGTAGTCAATTCTGTATGCACAAGTTCTCAAGTAAGTTCTCATTTATTTAACAATAAGTTGAGACTCCAGTGTCAACTATAAACTTGATTATTACGTGATTCCACTGATGTTACAAATTGCAGAGAGAGGCTCATTTGCTATGTAGTAGTCTCAAAGATTCTCAGTACTTATATGTGGACACTCTTTGGCTAGATAGAACTAGTAATGTTTTTCATTTATAAAGTGAGCTCACAAATCCAAGATCAAGAGTTGCATGTTCAACCAGCTAAGCCAGTGAGGTGCCCCTAGAGCTAGTAATTTAATAACAAGTTTTGCTGCATCCTATTCAGACTTCTCTCTTTAGACAAGATATAATAAAATTGAGAATTCCATTTTGATGGAGTTTATTCAGTTGCTTATAGGAGTACCAGCCATTTTACTATGATTTAGTAACGCTTGTGCTAAAATACTTTGATATTCTTTCTCTGTAAGGCATAAAGAGAAATCATAGTCATTGATACTCTTTGATTTATTCTTGAGTCTCTCAGGAATACACGTATACACATGTTCCTTAACTTTGCCAGAGAAATGGCAATCACCATTAAGAGGAGTCTTCACCTGAAGGGAGTCTGCAAAATCCCAGACAGGAGTGCTGTTTTGTTTTTAAGTTTATTTATTTTTGAGAGAGCGAGCAGGGGAGGGGCAGAGAAAGGGAGAGAGAGAGAATATCAAGCCGGCTCTGCACTGTCAGCACAGAGCCTCATGTGGGGCTCGACCTCCATGAGATCATGACATGAGCCGAAACCAAGAATCAGACACTCAACTGACTGAGCCACCCAGGTGCCCGAGGAGTGCTGTTTTAAAAGCTGTCAGCTTCTGTGTCTGCAGTGTACTCTGCTAAATGACATTTTAATGAAGGTAAATTGGCACCAGGATCATCCATCAGTATCCTGATTTGTTTCTGGAATCTTGAACATCACCAGACCCAAAACAGAAATCTTACTTTTAAATATTTTTATCCTTTGAGTTTTAGTTTGATTTTGTTAACTCTCAGTATTTAGTGAAAGAAGTTTAGATCCTAGCTTTAGGTTGTTGAGTCAAGTCATGCTTTGCTCTCATTACCATAACTGAACTTGGGTGTACTTACTTCTCTTCAGCCACCCTTTCCTCATTTCTACAAAAAGGTGATCTCATTTGTAAAATCTTCTCACGTCTGGTTAATGACTACATTCTATTGAATTTGGTGAGGAAGTTATTAAGATCTTAAAGAGATCAAAAACTTTTAAGGACTCTGTAGTAGGAGAAAAGGAAATTTAAGAAATTGTGTTAGTCTGTTAGTTTTGACAGTACAACTCTATCTGTGACATTTTGCAATACTGGTTCTTTTGTAAAATTTTATTTTTTCCTAGTACTAAGTGTTCTCTGACTTGTGATAATTAAGGATGACAATTCAAATTATTTTTAAATTTAGTAACAGGACATGTTCAGTGGTCCCCAAAACTTCTTTACGTTCAATTCACCTAGAGAACTTTAAAATATTAGACTCCTGGGTCTTATTAGAACAGTATGTTTGGACCTATTGAGTCAATCTCCAGTGTGGAGCACAGAAATCTATTTTTAAAGCTATCTCCACACGAGTTACATTCAGGCAGCCAAGCTCTGAATGGACTCTTTTGAACCACTGCTATAGGTAATATGTGGGTTATTTGGCAATATGGGCCACATAATACATGAATGTAGACTTTATAGTAATTATATTTCAGATTGCTTAGTCTCTTAAGTCCATTGAATTTCTAGCACTATCATGTGGGAATCCAATAAATCTAACCATCTTCCAAGATCCTATTGTGTATCTAATGAGTTCATCTTGGTGCATGCAATCCAAGACACACATGGTTCTGCATACGTAGTTCAGTTTTGAAATGTTTGTATCCTTCAGCAGAGTTTTCAAATGCCTAGTTCAAGGGAGATTTGAGAAATACAGCATCACCTATGTATTTGAGGAACAGGAAAGAAAGATTTGTAGATAAACAGAACTTTTTATCTTCACAGAGTTATGGAGTGGCTGCCAGCAAGAGACAGTGTTCAGATGTGGATGATATTTGTTCAGTATGTCAAGCTGAATTTCAAAAACCAGTTCTGCTCATCTGTCAGGTAAGTGGATTTGTTAAGCATACCAAATACAGCATTTCTCTGTCATATTTATGTTAGCTACAAGGAAAAATCTGCAATGTTTAGCATAAAGTAGCATTCAGGGCACATACTAGAAATTTCTTACCTATAATCAGGGGTTTGGTAGATTAGCTAAACCTTGTTCCTTATGTTCTAATGATTTGTATGCAGAGGAGGGTATGTGGGGGAAAAATAATTCAGAGGGCAGACTGGATACGAAAATGACTTGAAAACAGGCTACTCTTAACAACTGGTTACTAGTCTTTAAGAATACCAGCATTTGTTATTGGATTGTGTAAGTCCCTTTCCTATACTTTATGGCAGTTATTCTCAAACACTTTAAGACAGGAGGTCATAATACTTGATCTTAAAGTTATTACCCAGGGATAGCTTATATCTTATTAAAAGTAGTTGAATAGTATAGTCAAAAGAACACTAGTGGCTCTACCACTAATACCGCTTTGTGTTCTTGAATGTCGTACTTTGTTTTCTCATTTGTAAAATGAAGGGATTAGTGCTCTCCAAAATTCCTTTCAGCTCTAAAGTATGATTCTATAATGTGATGATTTTAAAATTAAAATGTTAAGTATAAAATCTAATTCTTAATTCCTTTACAGCATATATTTTGTGAAGAATGCATTACCTTATGGTTTAATCGAGAGAAAACGTGTCCACTGTGCAGAACTGTGATCTCAGACCATATAAACAAATGGAAAGATGGAGCCACTTCATCCCACCTTCAGATATACTAAGTTGTATAAACTATGAAGGCCACAAAACACTACTTTGGTTACACTGACTATTGATAAAGACATTAGAATGGGTTTTCAGGACTAGACATTAAGGAAAATGTTTCCAAAGGATTTTAGACTATTATAGTAAGACTTAAGTGTGTAATCTAATTTATCAAGAGATTAAATGAAAGAACCTTATGTTTTAAAAAATATGTAAGTAATGTTCAACCTAATGAATATGGAACATTTATCCTGTCCTAATTATTTGACAGGTGGTTGCAGTGTTAAATTGTGAATGTTTTCTCATTAATGTTACCAAAATGTCAATTGGGTAACTAAAACTAGTGATTTTAGAGGAACTCAGGTATTCTTTCCTGACATTGTTTTCAGAATAAAGAATATTTTTCATAATATTTTAAGATACACATTATCTGAAAGTAGAATTTTCTTTAGCATTGACTTTTATAATTCCCATTCTAAAAATTCTTAAATTTTCATAAAATTTGTATTTTTAAATGAAAGTTCTAAATACTATTTTTTACCTGTAAACAATCAGATTTTCTAAGTGAAGATTAAATTTACTGAGGATGATATATTTTAATATTGTATTGTTCTCTGTAAGATGATCAGCAATCGAGAATAGATTATTTGAACTCATTGTTTGTGGACCTCATACATACAATCCTTCTGTCAGCTTTAATGTTCATGATCTTGCTTTTTGTATAGTGCCATGAACTATCTTGAAGTAACTATTAAAATAATTGACATGAATTACAAATAGCTGGCTCCACTAATGATTTCAATAATATGACAAATAAGACCCACTCAAACTCTTACAAAAGAATTCCCCTTATAACTAATCTTCTCCAAACAGTTTTGGAATCTTATGCTTAAGTCACTGTTACTTGGGAGATTAAAGTTTGCACTCAGAGGCTTGCACCAAAAGCTTTGGATAGTGTGGTTTATTTGCCTCTAGGTATTTGTGCAGGGTAATGGAAAAGGGAATGAGGCATTTTCTCTCTCCCCATGAAACCTTTAAGGCAGAATCAAATCTATAACAGAAGTATGAAAGGCTAGTTACATCTAGAGTATAACTTCTGCCCATTTTTTCAATTACCATTAATCAGTTTGCACACAAGGAAAAGATAGTAGAAAGGAGGAGCTGGGAGGTAGAAAACAAATCTGGCAGTATTAAGACAAAGTCTGAACCAGAATATGGATTAATATAAGGATAGTAACCAACCAGCTACAGATAAAGCCACTTTCATGCCTGTATGGCCACCCAAATTGACACAAGAACATTAGAAAGCCTGTAACTATTTTTCCTATAGGTAAATACTGCCAGGTTATAAGTACAACTGTTTCTATTCAGTGATGACATATTTAAACCTATTACCTAATTTGAGAACAGTTGCAAATATTGAAACAAGCTTATTTGGCCTTAAATCACCTTCTTGACTGTGGTGAGCCAACAGTTATTTAGGTATACAGTAGGAGATAGGTGAGAAAGACAATTTGAGATTAGAATTTGGGTGCGAAAGATAGGTGTGTTGAATTCCTATCATGAACACAAGAATAACATCTTACTACATGGGTTATTTCAACCCTATTAAAATACCTACTCTTCTTACTCTGTGGCTATATGGATAGCTTTGTTTCTTAAGATGATTTAATAAAAAGGAGGTCCATGATAGGCAGATGGATTTTTGTTCTTAATGAATTAACAAGAAAGCAGTTCATATGAATTTAAAAGGGGGGGAAATGTAATAGGAGAGCTATGCCATCTACCAATAACACTGATGAACTGGAAGCATTTCTCTACTTAAAGTCTTTCACCTCAAAAATGGGAATAGGGATTCAAAAACCCAGTTATTCTGTGAACTCAGATCACACCCTCTTAAAGATCGTTTTATCAGCATTAAGAGCTGCAACTCTATGGGGCACCAGGGTGGTTCAGTCCGACTCTTGGTTTCAGTGCAGGTCATGACCTCACAGTTGGTGAATTTGAGCCCTGTGTCCAGCTCTGCACTGACTGCCTGGGATTCTCTCCCCCTTTTTTCTGTCCCTCCCCTGCTCACATTCTCTCAAAAAAAAAAAAAAAAAAAAAAAAAAAAGGAGCTGCAACTATGTTTAATAAAAAAGTCAGTTTGAGAACGTATATAGAGAAATCGTCCAAGTGTGATAGAATTGCCTCAAATAAGTGGCTTATACAAAACACCCATCTTACACTAGATATGTTGAGACATTAGTTAAAAACAGATTTGGGGCATGACATTATGTAGCACATACACACCCAATAATCAAATGTAGTTGACAAGTGTGGCTGAACAAACTTGTTAGGACAAGAAAGTCTTCCTAGTGTATCTGTAATGAAACTAGTTTCACATAATTTTTCACATGAGGTTTTTTTTTAAGCAACCAATTCAACTATTGGACAGAACTTGGAAATTACAAGTGTGTAACATCTAATATATATTAGTACTAAAACTTGTTATATATTTCAGTAGATTCAATTTCTCAGCAGAATGTTTTTACAACTGTTAGTCCTCATATATATAAGTAGCTTACTAAATATGAGAACCTGAACATATCTGGTATATTAATGAAAATAATTATTGAAACCATTTGTGCACCTGATAGTTATTTCTTCCTATCTTAGGATTAAAAAAAAAAATCACTTCTATTTTATGTTCATTCAAATTTGCATTTAATTTCTATTTACATTCATTCAATCCGAAATCAAATACTTAATACAGTAAACTAAATACAAGATGAAAAGCAGAAAAATGTGTTACCCTCATAGCACTCCTAATAAGGCAGCTTAATATTTACTCTGATAGATGCAAAGCCAACTTGGGACAGGAATAAAATAATGAAAGAACACAGATGAACCCATTTTTCAGATGTTACTTCAAATAATCCACTGAGATAACATTTGTGCTGTAGTGATAAATTAAGAATCACACACAAAAGTTTTATATCAATCAGTAACAGACCACAGGTCACGGTGTGACAAATACTTTTATGATTATTTTGTCCAGCTTACTAGTGTCTACTCCTATGAAAAAGGGTAGATGTTTGGATACTGATGTTTTTGAGAATTTAACCATTTTCAAAGCCTCAAAATCCATTCTTCATAAATTCAACATTTCTCATGGGAATATTCTTAGATCTAACCCTTGTAGACTAGGAACCACATGACTGACTAACCAAAATAGGTCCTACATTAAACATAAAATCGAAGGCTCAGGGTGCCTTGGTGGCCCAGTTGGTTAAGCATCCGACTTCAGCTCAGGTCATGATCTCACAGTTTGTGAGTTTGAGCCCTGCGTCAGGCTCTGTGCTGATAGCTCAGAGCCTGGAGCCTGCTTCAGATTCTGTGTCTCCCTCTCTCTCTGCCCCTGCCCCACTCGCACTCTCTCTCTCTCTCCCTCAAAAATAAACATTAAAAAAAAAAATCTTTCTTTAAACTAAAATAAAATTGAAGGCTCAGTATATTGATACTATCGAAGATGTGTATTGCTTATAATCATTTATTAAAGAATGTTGAATTTATGGAGTATCATACATGCATTCTTACCTCCCACCCCCCCAATTATCTTCTTTCTCAAAAAATAGTATGGAAAAAAGTCTCCTTGAAGGATTCAAATTACGTGAGACCATAAAGGGGAAAAAGAAATAATATAATTTTCCAAAATATCTGGTTCAAGTTCAGTAATTCTTTACATTGTTAATCACAGCTGGTTTATAAATCCCAGTTTATTCTGTAATGCTACAAACCTTATAAAATCAAAATTAGTAGAGTTCAGTTCTCAGTGATTATATTTTAATTAAAAAACAACATGTATAAAGTAAAAAAATATCCTGTAATAGCTGGTTTTAAAGAAAATAATCGAGTGATGAAAGGAAAGCACTTAATCTCTTTTATACACTTACCTGGAATAATCATAAAGAATCCTCTTAGAAACTTAAGACTAATAATATTGACATCATACATTTTGAACTATGCTTGGATTTTTACAAATAAATATAGGGTAAGCCATATTGCATAGGTGTGTGCTTTCTGTCTGTGACACTAAAAGTGGCACTTGACATGTTTCACAGTCAGAGTAGGGATATCCATTTATGAAACAATGTTTCAGTGAACTTGCCTCAGCACAGGAAATTAATTTCACTCAATATTAAGTCTGAAAACTATTTGTATGGATGGTAAATATGTAATTAATGCATTTTATGCAGAAAATTTGCGGTGTGTGCCACTACTGCTGGCAGTGCTAATTACGAAAATAGTTTAACTATGGGGTGGTTATATAGCCAGCCAATCACAGTGCAAATGTTACTAGCAAATAGGACTGAGGAGGAATATTTTAGTGTAAAAATTTTGCTGGAATTTGGTTAGGCAGTCAACACTACAGTTAGTAAACACATTTGAAAACAAGTATCAGAGTAGCACAAGTCATTTACAGTCTGAAAGAAAGTCTATACTTATCACCATAGTTTTTGGGTTCTGTTTTTTCAGACATCAACTGTCATAGAACAAAGCTCTGCACGTTAAGTACAGTTTCTGCCTTTATCATTTATTGTAGCTTCTAATTTACTAGCTAGTGTTACAAAGTTCTCAGTAGGCTGCTGCAATAAGGGAGGAGGAGGTCTAGAGGAAGTGATAAAATAAAAAAAAAATAATAAAAAAATAAAAGGCTTTCTGTCCAAAGATGAACTGTTACCAATTTCTTCATTTATTGCCAAAATTGAAAAGGTATATTTCCAATCACTTTTCGTGGTTCTATTTTGCTCAGTGTCCTAGGATTTCATCTCATCTCACTTGAATTGCCATTTAAATAAGCAAAGCTTTCCTCTTTTCTGACTGAATTCAACATGCATAAAGAATCTTATGGCTTGGATCCTATGGCTCAAAAAGGTTTGAAGAACATAGCAAGCAGCAACTATTTAAAAAAATTGTAGGGTTGCAAAATATTACAAATTGACTTTGCACACTCAGAAGACATTATAACAAAAGGAGGTGATAAGACTCAACTGCATGATCATCTATTATACCAGTATGCACTGAAATGTATTTTTATAAAGCTCTGCAGATATTAAACCCTTTCACCAGCTAAAGTCATGGAAATGCGCTCTTTAAGGCAGGAAGTATTTAAGAAAGGTAAAGTTACCTTTATTTTTATTCTTTGTACCTGTATATCACTTATGTAGATTTTGTTACAATTTCAAAAACATAATGTCTTGTTCACATGTTTCCTAAATTAAACCACTAAGTTTTCTTATTCACTGTGGAAGACATTCATCAAAAGGCCATCAAATGTTTTTACAATCAAAAAATGTAGCCCCAGTATAGAAGAAACTCTTTTTCCTTTTGAAACTGCTGAGGAAAAAAATGTAAGGAAGGTAGACAGCAAAAACAGTTAAAAGTAAAACTTAAAATCTTAACAATTTGCTGTAAAGAGATTAGACATAGAGAGTGGAACATGATAACACCCTCTTCCCCTGGATCTCCCTCTCTCCCTCACTTTACTGCCCTCAGTATGTATTTTATCCTCTTTTCCATCCTTCTTCAGCCATAGGCTGAAAATATTTGGCGTCTTGAACCAAATACTGGTATAAGAACAGGGGGCGATATTTTTCCAGTGCAATGCAGGCCCAGGTCAAGGATGCAATGTAGGACATACAAATTATGCCCATTCCAAAGCTTCCAGTTAAGCTTAGCACATAGCAGTACTGCAAGTAGAAATGATTAAATAGATTTTTTTTTCCTAGTATTACAGACAGGTATTGCAGCTGGGTTACTGAAAATAAACCCCATGTCCACCCCAATCCCTCAAAATAGCCACAGCTGTGGTTAACAATGATTCATTTGCATTTTTATTGTTTCACCAAGAGAAGAAACAGAAGTTGTCTGGCTTTCTTCACACCAACCAATAATTTTGCATTTTAAAGTTGGGATGTTTTCCATAATGAGCTGAATCAAAAATCTATTTGAAAAATATATATTTATATAAAAAAAAGATTCAGGTTGTTTGCACGTAAAACATCAACTGTTAAGTTTCTTTTGTCTTTGATTCCATGTTGCTGGAAAAGTTTGAACAAGCTTGCATGCTAATTTGTCCTTAGTTGCAAGTATTACAGGCAATTTCATACTTTGCCTAATGAAAGGATAACCCTTCTTCGACACAATCAGAACTCAACAGTGATTCAGAAGCAACATCCTACCCTTAATACTGTCAGTTTTGAGCCATCAACATGAAAATCCTTGATAAGGTTGAGAAGATGTCGCTAGGAATCAATTGATGTGCCTAAGAGTTCCACAATACTATTATGCTTAAGTTTTTTTTTTTTTTTTTGCACCATTGATTGATTTTTTTAAAATCCATGTTTATTTTTCCTCTGTCCAAAGTGTTCAATGTAATGACACTGACTCTTCAAGACTGTCATTTTGAGCTTTCTTGTTTCACTTTACAGGATGCTCACATATCCCTTCCTCACCTGTTTTTGCCTTAAATTCATTAAAATCATTGCTCTGTCATAGATTCATACGTAGGTGCTCTGGTCGTTTGGAGATCATGGGAAAAGCTTGTTTTTTGTATGGCCCAGAGTTCGGCTGTCGTATGGGAAGTGGTGCTGAAGCTTCCCCACTCATCGTCACATCCATCTGCTCTACTCCACTTGTTTCCATTGGATATTCCACAGGTGTCTGAGGATTTGCTGTGCTGGCTGAAGCACCTCTTCCCCAGAAATCCCCAGGAGAAAATTTGACTGGGCTTTAAGACAAGGAAGAGCTATCATTCATTTATCTCAAGGATTATCTCAACAGGAAATATTTCCCTTACATTTAAAGGGATGACACTTATTTTCATTCAATTTTATTTTTGTGTGAATTAGTACAAAGGCTAAATTTGAGCCATTGCTCCTCTAGACTAACTGCTAGAATTTCCTAACTGGTCTCTTTATCTCTGTACCTGCCTTTGTAAAATACTCAATGATACTTTTTTTTTTTTTTTAAAGTCATTGTACTTCCCTACTTAAAACCGCTTCCCACTGCATTTAAATGTATTTAAGACAAACTCACATGTCAGGAATGTTGACCACCCTTTCATTATGAAGACCAAGATTTTTCCTCCCTTGGGGCTTTTGCATGGGCTGTTGCTGTACCTGTAACACCCTTGTACTTCTATTTTTTGTATGGTGGCTTTTTCTCTTCATTCTTAGATGTTACTTCACCTGAGAGACCTTTCTCTGACGACCATGAATAGGAGCCCCCTTGTTATTATTCTCTGCTCTCTACCACCACACTCTATTTTTCTTCAAATAGTACTTGAACACTACTTGTGCTTACATATTTTTTGTATTTCCTTCTTTAGTTATTGTGACTCTCTTCTCACTCAATTGTAAGCTTCATCAGAACAAGGACAATTCCTATGTTAATCACGTGTCCCCAGCATGTAGCACAGCCCCTGGCACACAATAAATGTTGAATGAATGGGTAAAGAAGACATTTGCCAATAGAGTAGCTTACTTTCTTTCACAGGAGGGAAGGTAAACTATATAGCAGTCAATATACGAAGATGTAGATGCTGTTCTTATGTTAGCCAAATAGAGTATGACACCTCTTTTGTTTATGTAACTTGGCACACATTTAAGTGATGCTCTTCTAGGTTAAAAAAAAAAAAAAGGAAAAGAAAAGAAAGAAAGAAAGACAGTGAGAACAACAAACTCTGAATACCTGACAGGTGTTCGTGGGCTGCCAATAAATCTTCGAGGTGATCGGATTTTTGGTTCAAAGGAAAATTTTTCTTTCACACTTTCAAGTACAGATGGAGCAACATATGTAAAACCCTGAAAGACAGAAAAAGTAGACTACAGAATGGCATTTTGTTATATAAATCAAGAAAATGTAGTTTCAGTCTCTGACACACCAAAACAACAATGCACACCTAAAACCACTGCTCTGTATACACCCGTCTCCCCAGTCTCATTTCACATCTGTTAGCTTCTTTCCAACCATTTCTTGAGGCACAGACCTCAAGAAGGCAGAATTTAATTGAGCCTCGTATGCCAGCAAAGAATATTCTACTCTACTGAAAGGAGTAGAACAAAACAGGAAATTGTAGGCTCCACATTAAGGTATTAAATATGATATATGCAAAGAAAATTCTAGGGTTTCTAGCCACATGCACATAAGCAACTAAGATTATCACTCCCCAGTTTCTCATTATTAGGACAAAGTAAAAATACAATTCTTTAAATTGGCATGTGTGATCTTCTGATTTTATACCAATGACTGGATAGATTTGATATTTTCATGATTAAAAATAAAACTAAATTTTTTTAATTCGCAATTATTCAGTTTTGCTAGCTTTAGTTCTTTCTTGGACCTTGCTATTAGGCCACACCAGTTGTCCTTTCTCTTGCTGCCAATGTCCTATCAATCAGTCCTCCATCTATCTTCCCTTTTATTATTCCAGTCATCTATATATAGGCATATGAATTATAGTAAAACAACTCAACAAGGCTCTGGGTGAAGTCCTAAAGAGTGAGGTACATTCTCTAGTGCATATACTTTGTGACAGGTACATGTGGACTTCAGAAGCCATTTCCCCACATAGTCTAGTGAACTAAAGCCATAACTACCAAGAGGACCAGGCTGTACCTTGATCATCTTTGAATTTCCTTTAATTCTGTGAGAGGAATTTAAATAATTATTAAACTGAAGTTGTTATAACCACAATCCCCAAGTAAGTAGGATGTTACTGATTTTTATTAATTTCTTTTTTTATAAATTTTTTTTTTTCAACGTTTATTTATTTTTGGGACAGAGAGAGACAGAGCATGAACGGGGGAGGGGCAGAGAGAGAGGGAGACACAGAATCGGAAACAGGCTCCAGGCTCTGAGCCATCAGCCCAGAGCCTGACGCGGGGCTCGAACTCACGGACCGCGAGATCGTGACCTGGCTGAAGTCGGACGCTTAACCGACTGCGCCACCCAGGCGCCCCGATTTTTATTAATTTCTAAAGAGATTGACTTTATATACAGAAATCCGGCTACAACCTAACAAATGAATTATTCTTATGTTCATTAGTTGGCCAATTTAAGTAATTATGAAAAGTTCAACAATACTTTAACTGGCAATGAGAGCCTAGTTATGTAAATTTTGCCACCACAACTTTGGATTTCTTTGTAGTGAGATAAGACATTTCTAGACTTTTTTATGGGGGGAAAATTGTCAAACTAGTTGAAACTCTGCAATGTCCAACTGAGGAAAAGATCTCTATGTTAAATCAAAGGTATAAACTCCACATCAGTAGAAAACAAAATTCCACAGAAGAGGAAAAAAAGAAAGCGATGCCAGAATTTAAATGAATCCTGTTGGGGTGCTTGGGTGGCCCAGATCATGATCTCATGGTTCATGAGTTTGAGCCCTGTATTAGGCTCTGTGCTGACAACTCAGAGCCTGGAGCCTGCTTTGGGTTCTGTGTGTCTCTCTCTCTCTGCTCCTCCCTCACTCGTGCTCTGTATCTGTCTCTCAAAAATAAATGTTAAAAAAAAATTTAGAAAAGAAAAATAAAATGAATCATGTCTACTTCACTAACTGAACACAAGATATTTTACCAAGGAGTATACCATGACTTTGCATCGTGTAGATATAAACTTAACAACATTCATTCATATTTCATCTCTTATGTAATTAAAAAGACTGTAAAATTATACTTTGCATATATGCTCTATTCTTATAACACTATACAATCATACACTTATAATATTATTATTCAATGTTAGTTACTCAAAGCCATACTGTACTATGGTGATTTAAGAATAATTTTGACCATACACAATTTTTGCATTCCATGCTAACTTTAGAACTTACCCTCCACCCCAAAATATACAACACTGTGTATTACACACTGTGAACAGTATAAAAAAAATGGACAATTAAGTTGGTGATAAATGTGGTAAACTCAGAAATAGAAAAAAAAGAAAAAAAAACAAAACAAAACAAAAAAAACTTTCCAAATGCTTACTTTCTCCATATTCCACTCTCTCTAGATGTAGTCCAAAAAGAAATGACAAAGGATAATGACAAGTAACAACAAAAAAAAGATACAAAACGAGGTTTTTGATCAAAATCTAAAAAATCTTTAAAAAAAATCTAAAAGCTGTTTTTCTACCTGAAGAGACAAGGTATAAAACAGTACAGAAACTTCTACAATGAGGATTAATTTATTTACTATTACATATGAACCAATATGTTTTGATGCCAAATATTCACCATTGACAGGTTAAAAATCCCCTACAAAGTTACACTAAAAAGTACCAAAAATTTGTAGCTATTTCAGGAATAGAATAGTTACAGTGAGCTCTTCTCCTCCTACTGTTATAACTGTGTGACTTTCAATTGAGATTTGCTAAGCCAAACATCATTTTAAGTCAGTGGCCCATGTATACTCCAAAGAATCATACAGTCCTATTCTAATTGCTAAAATGGAATCTGGATTATGAGAATTTTTTAATTTAGCAAGTTAGAAAACTTAATAAAAAATAGCATCTCAGGTTACCTACATGAACTGCAAAGAAGAAAATTGAATTTTCTTATTGAAAAGGGCCCGTCCTAATACTTAAATTTCTTGTGGCAATATGGAATTCTTTCCTTAAATTTCTTGTGGCAATATGGAATTCTTTCACTTACCAGAAAGACCTGGTTGGCACTTTCACTGAGAGTTGAGTCATCTGGGCTGTCAACAGGTGTCTGACGTGTAAACTTTGAATCAAACTGACTCACATCCTCCTCAGATTGCTTTATGAAAAAACAAAATGATTAGAAAATGATGAATGATATATATAATATCAATCAAATGCATTACTTGCATTAGACAAGACTCTAGATAGAACTCTTTTCACAGGATTTGACTGTAATAAAATATCAGAATACTCTTAGTAGGCAAAGACTAAAGAATAAATACAGGTGGAAAGTATCAAAGGTCAAATTATATCTTCAAACTTTAGACATATATTAAAATAGATTATAGTACACCCTTACCATTCTTTATCATTCTTATAAAAAGTCTGTCAGATCACCTGGGTGGTGTCCAACTCTTTTTACTTTTTTTTTTAGCCTTTTTTTTTTTTTTAAGTTTACTTATTTTGAGAGGGGGAGAGTGGGGAGGATGGAGAAAGAGAGAGAATTCCAAGCAGGCTCTGCGCTGTCAGTGTGGAGCCCATCGCGTGGCTCAAGTGAGATCATGACCTGAGCCAAAATCAAGAGTTAGACGCTTAACCGACTGAGCCATCCAGGCACCCCCCCACACACACCCCAAGCATCTGACTCTCTATTTCCACCCAGGTCATGACCTCACAGTTGAGGGATCAAGCCTTGCTTTGGGCTCTGGGTTGGGCATGGAACATGCTTGGGATTTTCTTTCCCTCTCCCTCTGCTCCTCCCACATGTGCTCTCTCACATTCCCACCCCCTCCAAAAAAATCTGAATGTCCATCTTCCCCACTTACAAAGCTTCAGTGTGCCTAGTCCATTGGCTAAATTCCTTGTTAGATATAATTTGCTCAGTTGGCCACTGCAGGTTTATAATAAACCTGAGAAACTACTGAAGCAGAGATTTAACACAAAACACATTTGTAAATGCTCTAAAGTTTCTTTCTATAGCTTATTTCATCCTTTTAGACTGCTCAGGGAGAAATAACAACATTCTACTGTTTGAGTACATTTTCTTGTGAAAAATGTCACCCAAATCTTTTTTTTTTTTTATGAAATTTATTGTCAAATTGGTTTCCATACAACACCCAGTGCTCATCCCAACAGGTGCCCTCAATACCCATCACCCACCCA